AAATTTTGTTTAATAAAATAAGAATTCCTTCCTCCGGCACACTAGCCACATTGGAAGTGCTCAGTAGTTACATGTGAATAATGGCCATTCTTTTGGACTACAGAGCTGTAGGGTGAGTGTGTTGGTAACTTTTGGTCATGTTTGGATTCTCTAAAGAAGATTCTTCCAACCTTCTGCCTCAAGGGTAGGGGCCATGCTATTTGGTTTCTAAAAAACTGGAAGAGGGAAGGGTCTGATGTCTCAGCATATATTTATACATAGGTTTAGGGACTTTGTCTAGAATAGAATCCCTGCCTACAACTCCTCCAATCCAGAGACCCCCATTTTACCTTTTTTCTAAGAATAAACTTCTAGGCTTCTGCTTAAGTGGGGGAGGGGGTAGTCTCTCAAAAGCATAGGGACAGAGGTGGTTGTACTGGAGGATATATGAATCTAATTGCTTCTTAAGCAGCTTTTTAAAAAAAAAAAAGATTTATTTATTTATGCATGCAAGAACTAGGGTACAGGCCAGAGGTGTCGGGGGGTAAGGATTCACCAGAGACAGAGTAGGGAACAGAACAGGCAGACTGACTGAAATACACTGTTGAGGGGAGCAGCAGGCGAGTCAGGAGAGGTCTGCTGTGCCACGTGGGTAGCTCCCTGGCCAGGGATTGAACTAATGCTGCAGTCTCTGTGGGTAGCTTCATAGGTTGCATCTTAACCCCTTGTGCCACCAGGGAGGCCCAGCAGCTTTTTTTTTTTTTTTTTTAATATTTTTAAAGATTTATTTATTTATTTATACAAGCACTGGGTACAGTCAGAGGTGTGGGAGGGTGAGAGAATTCACCAGAGCCATAGCGGGGAGCAGAGCAGGCAGAAGGACCGAAGTACACTGCTGAGGGGAGCAGCGGGCGGCAGGAGAGGTCTGTGTGCCATGTGGGACCCTTCTTTGGTGGCCCGGGAGCAGCCGGGGATGGAACCAGCGCTGCAGAGGCTGCGGGCAGCTTCGCAACCAAGCGCTCAACTGCTACGCCACCGGGGAGGCCCCAAGGCCCAGCAGCTTTTAACTCTTATTTTTAGCTGCTCCCACTCTCCAACCTCCTTTTCTGTAGATACCTGGTGCCACTTATCCTTGAGCCTATGGAGGATCCTTAAGTATAATTTGGATTTGTTTTTGACTTTTCCTCCTTGTGGTTTAGGACTCCACTTTCTTTACTCCGTTGGGTTTTATGCCACTAGTCTTTGGATTATTCCCCAGCCTCAAAATTTGGTCGCAATTGTGCTTTTCTTGTACTTCCTAACCTTGTATATTTCTTCCACCATTTTTTCCCCTTTCTAAAAATTCCTTTTCTGTAACTTTAGAGAAGTTTTAGGAAATGAGATGCTTTGATTCAATTGTACCATCTTTTACCTAGAAGTTCCCATTAATCTGTAATCATGAGCCAGATTTTGACATTTAAAAACATTTCATCCAGTATTTATGCTTCCTCCAGTGTCTATATTTGTAGTTTAGCGGAAAACTCACTAGAAGGAACAGGGAAATGAAGTATTCAGTGCAGCTAAGCTAGGACAATAATGGTTTGGTTTTGGGGGCAGAACAAAATTGACAGTAATCAAGGAGAATGGTGAGAATGAAAGAATTTAAAGATGGGTAGAACATCTAAAACTGTTATGAAAAAACTTGGACATCTGAGATATACAGCTTCAGTGACATTTATCTTCCTGTATGCCAATACTTTTAATTCTTTTCACTTTTCATGGTCTAGGAACCGCTTGTTCTACAACTCAGAGAATCCACAAAACAACTAATGATACTATTACAAAAAAAAACAAAAAACACTGAACAAATCATATTGTTTGCAAGCACAGTATATTCATAAGGCCTGTAAAGAAAACACACATAGGGGCAGTGGCGCAGTGGTTGAACGCTGGGTTGCGAAGCTGCCCGCAGCCTCTGCAGCGCCGGTTCGATCCCCCGGCTGCTCCCCAGCCACCCGAGGAGGGTCCCACATGGCGCGCAGACCTCTCCTGCCGCCCGCTGCTCCCCTCAGCAGTGTATTTCGGTTGTCTGCCTATTCTGCTTCCCGCTCTGGCTCTGGTGAATTCTCTCACCCTCCCGCGCTTCTGACTATACCCAGTGCTTGTATAAATAAATAAATTAATTTAAAAAAAAGAAAAGAAAACACACATAGTATTGAATAAGTATAGTCTCAGAATACTGTAGGAACAGGTTGGTTTCAATAATTGAATTGAGCTTGCTGCCTGGGTATACAGGCAAACAGGATAGTGTCTGTACTGTGATTTGCTTTGCTGGTAGTTGCTGCCCTCTGTTGGATTAGTTGAGGAAACTCAATTTTTTTCCTGCATGGATCACTTACATAGTCTTCACCTGAGTACTAAAACAGATTATTTTTAAAGGAATTAGTCTGTTCCTAACAAAACCCAAGGGGAGCAAGAAAAAATTGTATCTTCCTTCTTTTGAAAATATGTATGTACTTTTGTATCTATGGGCTGCAATTAGGGGGGCATTAAATGGAAATAGAGCTGAATTTGGAGAGTAAAGATTTGGAACTTGGAATCTGGAGAGCCTAGTTGCATTCTCAGTTTGCTCCTAATCATGTTACCTCTGTGATTCACTGCATTGTCTGGGCTTTAGTTTCTTCATTTATACAATAAAGAGATGATGTAGATTTGAAGAACTCTCCAGGAATTGGTATTTTAGGAAAGCAGCCCAGATTATGGTATTTGTTCATAGCAATGTAATGACTAAGTCTCAGGCTTGGCCCTGACAGAACTTGGTCTATAAAGGGATAAAAAAAAAAGGCAGAAAATCAAAAGACGGCTGTAATCCATTACTCGAGTTGTGAGACAGGCAAGTACCTAACATTATGGAAAACAGAGGAGATGTCATCCTGCAGGCCTGTTGGCATTAACCATGAAAACTCATCTAGGCTGAGGGAAGAAACAGCCTAGGGACATCTCAGGCGGTAAGACAGCATGAACTGTTTGTGGACCTTTGACTAGAGCAGAATGCCCAAATTTTAGTTTGAGGTGGAGAGTTTGTTGAGAGATGACTGGGGAAAGAAACCAGTAGTATCATATGCTAAGGAATTTAGATTTTAACCTGAGGATGGGGTGGGGTGGGGTTACTATTTGAAGGGTTTAAATGGGGGAAATAACATGGATGGTTTAACATTTTAGAATGATTACCTTTGGGTATAATATGGAGAATGGACTTGGTTTGGGGCAAATGAGACTAAAGGCGAGGAGATTAGATTGGAGGCTACTATAATAAATCAAGTAGTAGACAATAATGACAGGAACTTAGTAGTGGGGTTGACAGAAGAGATATAAACTAAGGGTCTGTAGACAGAAAAACCAGCTACAAGCCCTTTCTTTAATTTAACCTGCAGCAGTGACCCATCCAGTGGGCACTGCTTCCTTAGACCCAGGTCTGTACCTACGTTACGTTATGTCATCCATCCACTGTGGTAGCTGGGTTCTGAGGGATTGTTTTGAGTTTGGAGGAAAGAATCTAGAAGGAGATGCTCTAGGAGCCAGCAAGTTTTACCTTGTCAGTGGCCGCCTAAACTGTACACAGTCACCCCTTTTATGACTTGTGTCACCTTTGTATACCATGTGACTTAGGGCAGTAACAAAAGGAACCTTTTGGATGTTGCTGTCTCTCCCTCATTATCTTTCTAGCTTTGCTCCTTATAAGCAGCACACACAAAGAAACTAAATTCCATTGCCACTGAGCAAGGTTCTTATGATTTCAGGTGAGTGATTAGCACTCAGCAAGTGGAGACTTGACCTCTTCTGGACCTTGGAGGAGAGTGGAATTAAGATTCTGTTTACACCAGATTTAACTGAACTCTGACTTTGGGAATATGAGCATAATGAAATAGATTTTGTCCATTAAAAGGTTAGAAAAACAGCTTTGTGGCAGAGACAGAACTACATTTTCTTTATCTGAGGAAGGTTAATCCAAGAGGCATTCACTATACTCTTGTAAGGACATTTACAAAGAGATATAAAGTAAGTAGGAAAAAGAAAAATTCCAGCTTTTTCACGCCTGCTCATTCAGATTCATCTTTTGCTATCGTCTGTATGCAGAAGAGAACATAAAACATTAAGAATAATTATAAACTGAGCAACCACATAACCATCATCCATGTTAAGAAATAAAATAATAAAGCACTCTAGAAGCCCCCTGGTCTTCTTCCACATCACACCTATTGTACCCAAGTAACAGCCACTGTTTGATATTTGTTAAAATCGTTCCCTTTAATTTGACATCCTACTTGTGTATATTTGTAAACAACTTAAATGAAGTAATGTATTTAGTATTATGTTTGTGAATAGCAGTAGTTTTACCTTCTTGACATAATTGTCAAAACTAGTTTATCTCTTTGATAAACTACTTAACTCTTGATGACTATTTGTATTCTCTGGTATAGGTATTAGTATTGCTGCAAACATCCTTGTTATTACACATCCTGCTTCATATGTGCAAGTCCAGGCAGGGTGGATACATAGAAATATATATGTTGACTAGTAGTGTATGTGCATTTTTAACTTACTAGATGACATAGAGTTTTCTGGAGTGGCCATAGCAATTGACATTACCACCAGTGTGTGAGCGCTCCTGCTGCTCTGACTAGACAGATGTGAATATTTTTGTCAGTTTTGAGAACGGGATTAAAAAATGATATCTCCTTGTGGTTTTCATTTGCATGTCCTTGTTTATTAGTGAAAATGAGCACATAGCATAGGCTTATTGGTCCTCAAACTTAAGAGTCTTCAGTTGTCCATCTCCCCTTTACCCCATAAAGAGAGGGAAAGTACTTTACCTAAGGGAAAGTACTAAGGACTAGCTTGTCAGAAATTTTTTAGCTTGTGAGGGGTAGTTTAGATTCTTTTGACTTATTTTCTCTTCCCCCTCCCCCAACCCACCTGGTGTTTGGGAGGTTTCCTGGCATTTCACTCAACTTTCTTCTTCCTCCTTTCCTGTTTCCTAGACTCTGAAGCGGCTCATGGCAGATGAGGTAAGGAAACTTTATTAGGCATGTGCACGTTCTCGCTAATTTCCTGCACTACAGTATTTACCAGTTGTAATTACTTCAGCTTGTAATGGTGATGTGGGTTCTATTCTCAGGGTACCCCAAAGCTTTTTCCTAACCCTTTGCTTAGTGTTTGATCCCACTGCACGCAAGCTAACGTTCATTAGCTTCCACAGTTGTACTCACCCTTTTAACTCTGAGCTGTCTGGATGCTACTTATATTACTCGCAGCCTCTGCATGCTTGCAGATACTTACTATTATTTTTCGAACAGGTTAAAAGCTGCAGCTTTTTAGTAGCTCTTTTTGATTTGAGCATCTATCTGTATTTTTGGTGTGAGGAATGTTTCATGAGCATTTTGTTTGGCAGAGAGATGATGTGTATACTCCTGAAGTACGCCTTATTCTTTGCAGAGGGGTTTTGAAGAATATGTATTGAACTTTTTTGCCTGCATAACACAAGTGCTGTGAACTAAATGAAAGAAAGGGAATAAAAATCTGTGATCATATTCACCCTCCTGGCCATGTGATTTTTGGATAGCTAGATAGACACAAAGGACATTTTATTGAGATACCTAAGTATATCAGAAACTTTCAGTTCTGTGCTGCTAGAAGACTTAGAAATGGCAGAGGAGCTCAAGAACAACTTTTCTCTATTTAGAGGTTGCAAATCTTAATCCTTAAGTTCTCTTATCTTTGGGTGAAGATGAAAGTCCAAAGTCACCATGCTAAATTAGAATGAAGACTGGTTTTTCCTTTTCATATCATAAAAGTCTTGAACTACCCACAAAACAGGAACCATACATGTGTAAGAAGTTAGAGTTGGCTATTTGATGTGTAGTTTGTTGTGTAAATGAAAAATGGGTCACTACTAATACTTTTTTTTCTCTTTCTTAGCTGGAGAGATTTACTAGCATGAGACATAAGAAGGAGAAGGAGAAACCCAATTCTGCTCATAGAAATTCATCATATGGAGATGATCCCACAGCACAGTCACTGCAGGATATTTCAGATGAACAAGTCCTGGCACTCTTTGAACAGATGTTGGTATGTTTCCCCAGAGTAAAAACATTGCTTATTCCTGAAAATGTCTTTATGGGCGTTGTGAGCCCACTTTGGAGCATAGTCCCCCTTAATTAAAATTGCCCTGAATTACAGAGAGTTCCAGGCTTAGTAGGAAAGTTCTTAGTAGCAGTACCATTAGCAAAGAGACTCAGTACATAAGCACCACGTCATGGCATTGGGATCTATGAATTAGACCTGGATTGACCTGACTACCTTGGCCAACGACATTTTAGCCACAAAAACAGGATTAATGGGCCAACTCATATGTGGTTGTGTGGAGACCACCTTTGGGATAGCTGGAATAGATAGTGTTAAAGCTTTTATAATGAACTCTATACAAAGAAATAGAATACTCTATACAAAGAAATAGAGGACTAGAAAGGCATCATTTGCCCATGGTCCTCAGGTTAGTGGTGAAACTGGGAAGATAATTCTAATGCAGTCATCACTAAAAGATGTTTAAAGATTGTGACTGAAGTCAGCTGAATAATGAAGTAAACATGAATGTGACTTATTTGCTATCCTCATTGAGGATCACTGAGTGAGGAAGCTATTCAGTAAAAGTCTACTAGTGGTAAGGCTTGGGAAGTTTTGAATATATGCTTACAAACTTTCATAAGAACTGTATATTGCTTGCATCTATGATCTCAGCTTCAAATAGAACTAGTGGCAAGTCTAACTTAATTAAAAACATGGGCTTTGCGCCTCCCTGGTGGTGCAAGGGGTTAAACACCGCACTATGAAGCAATCCGCAGCCTAGGCAGCACGAGTTCCATCCCCGGTCTGTCAGGGAGCAACCTACATGGTGTACCAGACCTCTCCTATCTCTCCCGCTGCTCCCCGCAGTAGTGTATTTCAGTCAGTCTGCCTGTTCTGTTGCCCACTCTGTCTCTGGTGAATCCTCTCACCTCCCGCATCTCTAGCCTGTACATCAGCTCTTGTATGCATAAATAAATAAATCTTTTTAAAAAAAAAGAGGATTAAAACCCTTAACTTAGGTCCTAGTACATAATGAGCATTCAACCAGTACTACTACTATTATTTTCACTGAAATTTTCAGTTTGTCTCTTTAGTTATCCAAGTGCATTAACAGTCTCTAAGAGTATGGTCTGTAAGACAATGTCTTGGCCTTGTAGTATAAATTTAGATTCCTTTAGGGCCAGGCAGGTGTGGTAGTAAGTTAAACAGGCTAGATAGATGATGATAAAAAGGAAAAGGGACTTGAAGAAGGGCTTTCAGCGTTTTTGTTAGGAAGGTAGGCCACAGTTCACTTTCCATTGGTCTTTAGCATCAAGTGGGGATTGCTTTTCCAGTCATGTCAGATATTTCTATTTTTCAAAAGCAGCAGAAATTTATAAGTTTTTAAAATAATACCTTTAATTATATAAAATATGGCCAAAATTCATATTTCCCCAATTAATTAAAAAAAAATTTGTTCAAATCCCAGAATCCCAGTTTCAAATAAGGCCCATTGTACTTACATTCTCTTAAGTTTCATTTAATCTGTACATTCCCCTCCTCCCTGGCCTGCCCACACATCCTCCCTATTGTTAGATTACAAAAAAAAGAAAAAAAGTTGGACCTCCCTGATGGCGCAGCAGGTTGAGCACGCCGCACTGTGAAGCTGTCCACACCCTCTGCAGTGCAGGTTCGATTCCCGGCCAGCCAGGGAGATTCCCACATGGCAAGACAGACCTCTCCTGTCTCGCCTGCTGCTTTCCTTAGCAGTGTCCGCGGTCCGTTTTGCTTGTTCTGTTTCCCGCTCTGTCTCTGGTAAATTCTCTCACCCTCCCATGCCTCTGGCCTGTACCCCAGTTCTTTTTTTTTTAGAGGCATGTTTTTTTTATTTATTTATTTGTTTGTTTGTTTTTGTTTATACATGCACTGGGTACAGTCAGAAGTGCGGGAGGGTGAGAGAATTCACCAGAGCCAGAGCGGGGAGCAGAACAGGCAGAAGGACTGAAGTACACTGCTGAGGGGAGCAGCAGGCGGCAGGAGAGGTCTGCTTGCCATGTGGGACCCTCCTCCGGTGGCCGGGGAGCAGCTGGGGATCGAACCGGCGCCTCCGAGGCCGCGCGCAGCTTCGCAACCCGGCGCTCAACCGCTGCGCCACCGGGGAGGCCCGTACCCCAGTTCTTGTTCAAATAAAATAAATCTTTAAAAAAAATTTATAAAAAAAAAATTTTTTTTAAAAAGTTGAGGAAACTGACCTGTAGATTTCCCTGTAATGTGAAATTTTATCTTTGGTTGCATCCCTTGGTGCTGTTGGTTTTTTTTTTTAAGATTTATTTATTTATACAAGGACCAGGGTTTAGGCCAGATGTGCAGGAGGGTGAGAGGATTCACCAGAGACAGAGTGGGGAACAGAACAAGCAGACATACTGAAATACACTGCTGAGGGTAGACAGGAGAGATCTGCTCACCATGTGGGTATCTCCATGGCTGGCAGGGATTGAACAGGGATTGAACCGGCACTGCAGAGGCTGCGGACAGCTTCACAGCACTGCGTTCAAGTGCCTGCGCCACCAGGGAGGCCCCCTTGGTACTGTTTTACCAAACATCCATATATTTATGTGACATCGTCCATGTTTAAAATGTTGAGCTAACTAGACAAAATGTACTATGTCTTTGGGTCTTATTCAGCCTGAGGACTACTACTTTGTCTGTGTTCAATTTATTTGTAAAAAGAGGAAAAAAACACCAGGAAATAAGGCAGAAAAAATTCAGATTCGCATTGCTATTTGGAGGCAATGATTCCTTCACATACACACTCCTACACACATATACACACCCCCAGAAGAAATGTCATATATCTACCTTTCTCTGTGTACGTCCCCCATTTCAAAGAATATTCTGGACTTTTCCAAGTTAAACTTGCTAGGCACTAGGTATTAGTACCTTAGCACTAAGGTACTAGGTTCACACATGTGATCATACAGGCCCAGCAAAGCCTTTCCCCTGATATCTTGTCTTAGGTGACATCTTTTGAGGGACCTGCTTTATCTGATTCCAGTCCTTGTTCATTGGAAAGGAGTTTGTACAGAAGCTGATTTTACCAAGAGTAATGGGTGTTTATATCTACGAGGAATTGGTGCAGATTTTGCTGGTTTCAGTTTTGCTGGTATTTGGATAATCCAGTCATCTAGTACTTCACTCTGAAGTGATTATTAAGGTCCATCCCAAAGCAAAAAAACCTATATGTGCTTTTCTTTCAATAATGCAGAAAATTTCATCTATGTTAAGTCTATTTTTGTTGGGAAAAAAGTTACGTGTGTATGTATAAAAATATTTGCAAATATTTGTACTACAATGCTAACTGCATTTATTCTTGAGGAATTTTCACCATCTATAATAACATAAATCTCTAGGGATCATGGCCTCCCTGGTGGCACAAGGGGTTAAGCACTGCCCTATGAAGCAATCCGCAGCCTCTGCAGCACGAGTTCGATCCCCGGCCAGCCAGGGGGAAACCACATGGCAAAACAGACCTCTCCTGTCTCGCCCGCTGCTCCCCTCAGCAGCGTTTCAGTCAGTCTGCCTGTTCTGTTCCCCACTCTGTCTCTGGTTATCCTCTCACCATCCCTGCATCTCTGGCCTGTACCCCAGCTCTTGTATGCATAAATAAATAAATCTTAAAAAAAAAAAATCTAGGGATCATGAAAACTTATTTTTTCAATAAGCATTTAGTGTGCTAAACTCTTTGTTAAATATGCCAAATATTAAAATCTAGAAACCTGTAAAGAATTCAAGGCAGTTTTGTTTTTTCTCTTTTTTCTTCCCCTATTAGCTGGATATGAACCTGAACGAGGAAAAACAACAACCTTTGAGGGAGAAGGATATAATCATCAAGAGGGAGATGGTGTCTCAATATTTGCATACCTCTAAAGTTGTGAGTTTTAAGGCAACTATCTATGACATGGGAGACTGTATTCCTAACTTTATCTGTTTTATGTCTTCATTAATTCTAATACATTCTATTAAGTAAGCCTACTCATTTTTTTTTCTCTCATAAAGTGTATATGGGATTGGATGGGAAATTCTGTTTCTCACATAGTTTGGTGTTTGATGGTATCTGCCCTGATACTGTTTTAATTGTATTAACTATTGTTCTCCAATTTATGACTGACTCCAGTGTTTACTAATCTCTCTCTGTGCTCCTGTCTAGGGCATGAGTCAAAAGGAGAGCTCTAGGTCTCCCATGATGTACATTCAGGAGTTGAGGTCAGGCTTGCGAGATACGCATCTACTCAGCTGCCTGGAGTCCCTGCGTGTGTCTCTAAACAACAACCCTGTTAGGTGAGGATTCTCATGTAACAGGAATTGTAGCCCAAGGTTAGAATTCACTGGCAGGAACTGAAGATCAAAGGAATCAGGGAAGTATGAGAATGGTTTGAATTGAGAGTAAAAAGTGGCCAGGATAAACTGTTTTGGTGAATATTTTTTTATCTGATTTCATAATGTGTTGTGTCTGTGTTCCTTACAGTTGGGTACAAACATTTGGTGCTGAGGGCCTGGCCTCCTTATTGGACATCCTTAAACGACTTCATGATGAGAAAGAGGAGATTTCTGGGTGAGAATTTCCAAGTATTGATATCTTCTGGGTGGTGGGTAGTAGGGGGGTTGACTGTTTACACTAAAGGAGCCAATAATAGTTAAATTTAATGTACTGGGAGAATATGCTGTTAGCTAAGAATGAATTAATCATAGGGATGACTAGAGGACAAATGATTATTATAGATACCGGAAAGGGAGGAGGAACTTAAATTTCATGGTGAATAACACAGCATATATACCACACAAAATTATGAGTTCCCAGCACAAGTTCTTATATAGTCTGGAAACAGTCTGATTTAATCCAGAGCTGGCCTGTGATCTTGTCTGGTTCATATTTCATTTGGAGTCCTATGCACTTAATCAGTTTGTAACTAGTTTTATATCAATCTTCAGGATTGGAATAATTGTGGGGACACCTTGGACTGTCTCTAGGTTACCTTGAAGCCAGCCTGAACCAAAGTGCCTGAATGTTCAATTCCTGCCTGTACAGATTTTGAAATATTTGAAGTAGTGAGACAAACAGATCTATCATCTCTCAGATGTTATCCTGATAGAATTAACACTTAGGATTTAGAGGGAATTATAGGGCATACTAAATTCTTGGCTCTCCAGAGGATTAGCTAGAAGTTTTTGATGGGAGGAATCCCTCTTCAATTACTCTGCTTTTGCTATTGTTTCAGGCAGAGTGCTATGTGCTAGTATTTATTCAGCTACTAGTTGGGGTTGTTCTCAACATCTTGTCTGGAAGATTGAAAAATCAAATCAAAAAAGATAGATAATAAAGTGATCTGATTATCTTTTTCTATATGCAGAAACTACGATGGTCGTAACCAGCATGAGATCATTCGCTGCTTGAAAGCTTTTATGAACAACAAAGTGAGTTTTTTTTTAAATTCTCATTCACCTCCCCATTGTGACCCTCATTCTTTATCTTCTATTGGCAAACTTCAAAAAGGAACTAGGAAATTGAGGTTCAAGACTTTCCATCTTAGTATCCTAATTGTTTGATTGCCATACATACAAGCCTTCGTGAACTTTTTTGTCCTGTTTTAGTGTCAGTTTCAGAGGGTAGGATCAATTTTCTTTCTTTATCTATACTTTCTTTTGCTAATTCTTGAATTTGCTAACCTGTAGATACTGTTTTTTGATTGGTTTACTTTATTCTAGACTTTTATTTTCCCTTTTCGACTCCTTCCTACCTTTAGAATCTTTTCATCTTTTTTTGTCTGTTTAGTATTGAAACCCAGGGACCCCACAATTAGTTGCTTCTGAGTTCAAATCTATCTTCCTCTTAAATTTTGTTTTAATTAACTTAGTTCACTGCATGGGGGAGGCATTTAAAAGAAGCATAAGAGGGCCTTCCCGGTGGCGCAGCGCTTGAGTGCTGGGCTGCGAAGCTGCCTGCAGCCTCTGCAGCGCCGGTTTGATCCCCTGGCCTCAGGGCGAGTGTCCCACATGGCGCACAGACCTCTCCTGCCGCCTACTGCTCCCCTCAGCAGTGTGCTTCGTCAGTCTGCCTGCTCTCTCTCCTCTGGCTCTGGTAAATTCTCTCACCCTCCCGTGCTTCTGACTGTACCCAGTGCTTGTATAAATTAATAAATTTAAAAAAAGAAGAAGAAGCATAAGAATTAAAGATTTTTATACTTGAACGACAATTCTAATTCTGTCTTGTCTACTAGGAAATTATTTTGTTGTGCTCACCTCTCTTTAGCTGCACTGGGATGTGTTCTACCCCTGTATTAGTTTGGTACGGCTGCTGTGAACAAAGTACTATAAACCAGTGTCTTAAGCAACAGAAATTTATTGTCTCATAGTTCTAGAGGCCATAAGTCCAAGTTCACAGTGTTAGCAAGATTGCTTGCTTCTGAAGATTATGAGGGAGAATGTTCCACGTCTCTCCTAGTGCTTGGGGGCTTGCTGGAAGTCTTTGGCATTCCTTGATTTGTCGATGTATCATCAGTCTGCCTTCATGTTCACCTGGCATTCTCCCTGTTTGCATGTCTGGGCCCACATTTTCCCTTTCTATAAGGATACTAGTCATATGGAATTGGGGGCCTGTCCTACTCCATTATGATTGTAACTTAACTGATTATATCTGCAACGACCCTATTTCCAAGTGAGGTCAGATTCTGAGGTACTGGGGACTAGTTGGGGCTTCAGCCTGTGAATATTGATGGGGGAGCGTAGATACCCTTTAACTTATAAAGACAAACTCCTGCATGGTTAGATGCTGTCATCTTTAAGTCCCCCTTCTCTGTTCTTTCCTACCAGTTTGGAATCAAGACCATGCTGGAGACAGAAGAAGGAATCTTGCTGCTGGTCAGAGCCATGGATCCTGCTGTTCCCAATATGATGATTGATGCAGCTAAGCTGCTTTCTGCTCTTTGTATCCTACCACAGCCAGAGGACATGTATGTGACTGGAACTATTTCTCTGCTCCATTCTCTTTTCTTTTCCTTTCTTTCTTTTTTTTTTTTTAAAAGATTTATTTATTTATTTATTTATTTATTTATTTATTTATTTATTTATTTATTTATTTATTTATTTATACAAGCACTGGGTACAGTCAGAAGTGCGGGAGGGTGAGAGAATTCACCAGAGCCAGAGCGGGGAGCAGAGCAGGCAGAAGGACCGAAGTACACTGCTGAGGGGAGCAGCGGGTGGCAGGAGAGGTCTACGCAACATGCGGGACCCTCCTCCAGTGGCCGGGGAGCAGCTGGGGATCTAACCGGCACTGCAGAGGCTTTGGTCAGCTTTGCAACCCAGTGCTCAACCGCTGCGCCACTGGGGAGGCCCACCATTCTCTTTTCTTAACCATCTTCCTAAAATGGAGGAAAATTGAGTTAATTGTGTGTCTGCTTGGTCTTAAATACTAGGTAAAACTGTATTTCTTCCCAGATATGAACACTGTGAATCTTAATATTAAAGAAAGATTGTTATACAATGGAGGCTGTCCTGCGTTTACTACTGGTTTTCAGAGGACCAGCAGGATATCTTTTAGCTCTCCATTAGTACTTGTATTATTTAGGACAAGGGTTTTCTTTTACATTCTTCTAAAATTCAGAAGTAACACAATGTTATTTTAACAATTTAAGCAATATATTATACAAGTATGTAAAATACAGCATAACAGCCTCATCCCTTTGACAAATCCTATTCTTCAGATTTTTTTTTAAAGAATTATTCCTTTATTGTAAGATTTTTATTTAATTTATTTTGCATAGAAGAACTTGGGTATAAGCCAGAGGTGCAGGGGGTGAGAGGATACACCAGAGACAGAGTGGGGAGCAGAACAGACAGATCTACTGAAATACACTGCTGAGGGGAGCAGCAGGCCAGACAGGAGAGGTCTGCTGTGCCATGTGGGTTAGCTCCCTGCCCAGGGGTTGAACTCTTCTGCTGTGGCTGGTGATAGCTTCACAATGCTAAGACTTAACCCCTTGCGCCATCAGGGAGGCTTATTAGGTAGACTTTTTAAAACAAATTCTCATCCCTGCTCTAGATGATAAGAATGTTTACTATTATAAATGCTATTTCAGTGTAATACCTTTGTACATATATTTTTTCACATTTATGTATTTGTATTGGACAGGTTTCTAGAAATAGGTCAAATGTTCTATGCATTAAAATTTGGTACTATTAAATGCCCTTCCAAAGGTTGTATCAGTTTATACTCTATAAAACAGGGGTTTTAAATTTGCCATCTGTTTAGGGATAGGATTCAGGGCGTATGTTTTCTGCAGAGATTTTCCTTAGCTTTTAGCTAAGGATCTGTGCAAATCTGGCTCTGCACTAAGTGATGAGAAGAATAATGTGGAAAATCCAGAACAATGATAATGTTACCTGTAATTGATCTGTGCCCGTGTGTATTACCTATTATGTATGTCTGTGTCAAAGTGCCTAAGCAGTTCTCTCCCTTTGCTTTTTCCTGGCCAGGAATGTAAGGGTTTTGGAGGCAATAACAGAAAGAGCTGAAATGGACGATGTGGAACGTTTTCAGCCACTGCTGGATGGATTAAAAAGTGAAACCTCCATTGCACTCAAGGCATGTATCCCCCTGCAGCTGGGCCCAAGGGTAGAATTCGAGATGGAAAAACTTAAGTTCATTTGACCTTTTAATAGGACACCCAGGGTGGTTCCTAACTGTATATTTTATATTTCAGATTTCGTTCTGAAGGGGAAGTGATTATCTCCTCTAAGAAAGCAGAGAAAGAACTATTTTCCTCATTTTTGAGATGAATAAAAGGCTTGTAATTCAAAAGTGAGGAAAATCAATGCCTGCAACAAATTACCATCAAATTCTTAGAATTATAATACTTAGATCTCTGAGTTCTTCAGACCTGTGCTTAGGTCTTACTGCTTTAGCAGAAAGTCTTATTTGTCGTCTTTTTTATATATCTACCAATAATTTAATACATGGAGCCTAATACATCTTCTAGGTTATATTTGAGGGCTTCAGAATTCATGTTAAAAGAATGGAATCTTAATCCCTAGAAGTCAACATTAACAAACGGCTTAATTTTCTTATTTTAGGTGGGGTGCCTACAGCTGATCAACGCTCTAATCACACAAGCTGAAGAACTTGAATTCCGAGTTCATATCCGAAGTGAACTGATGCGCTTGGGATTGCATCAAGTGTTGCAGGTGAGATGCAAGGCTTCATTAGAAAGCTGGCTGTTTCCTTCCTCTTCCCTGGGATAACTTTAATTTTCAATTTAAAAACCAAAAGGTTTCCAGGCAGCATAGGACTCTTGTGTTTCCTGGCATCTACTTTTGTCATTGACAGGAACTTCGGGAGATTGAAAATGATGATATGAGAGTACAGCTAGCAGTATTTGATGAACAAGGGGATGAAGATTCCTATGACTTGAAGGGACGACTGGAGGACATTCGAATCGAGATGGAATATCCTTTTACTGACTAGATTCAAGATAGTTGAGACTATCTTTTGTTTGTATTCAGCTATAGATCCCTGTCTGGATTGGTATGTGGTAATGATTTAGCACAGGACTTCAGCCCATGTGTCTTCTCAGTAGATAAAGCAGATGTATTTTGATTGCTGTTGTATTTACTTAACCTCAGTATGGACCCTAGAAGTTAACAAAGGTGATTTGTGCGTTGCTTAGCATGGAAGCAGCCATCAAAATGAGTATAGGGCTCCTAGAACATGATAGTTCTCCTAGAACTATCATGTAGCATTTACTAAGATAAAGTAGCATTTACTAAGATAAAGATTTTCAAAAAACATACACAAAGTGGGGATTAACGTTATAATTTGTTTCCCCATATGTATCTGTAAGATTGACAAGGTAATTTGATCACCGATTGATATTTGGCACAAGTGACCGAGGCAGTTATCTTTATTTCTGTCTGTTGCTTGATACTCTAGCCAGGTACCATCCAACTCATTGGTCCCGGCCAAAGGAAGTCTGTAGAGCTTAAAGTTTTGAACAGTGTTTACAGGAGGAATGCTGTTAGCATAGTCATCTTTTTGCTTTATTCAAGAGGTGGGCAAGCTGTCAAACATAGCTTTTAAATATATGCTTTCCTTAGCGTTTTTCCTTTTCCACTGACTTCAGTGAAATCTTCCAGATTCTCTTAAACACAGTCAAAGATTCAAAGGCAGAGCCACACTTCCTCTCCATCCTGCAGCACTTACTCTTGGTTCGAAATGACTATGAAGCCAGGTAAGGCAATATGCCGGTGAAAAGTTTAAAATTTGAGTTTAATAGAGCAGAATCCTCATTTAAATATCATCTATAAAGGGAAAAAGAAAAGGACAGGGATTAGGGTTAATTTTTAGTCACAGATATGAAGGGAGTTGTTAGTTGTCTCTACTTACAATTGAAAGGCATCTCTGTGGAAAAAGGACAGAGTGTAAAAGTGAAATGCCATTGCTGATTTTAAGGGGTTTGGTAGGGTAGGGTAAGGATGACAGCAAAGGGTAGCAGTTTAAAGTTCACTCAGGTTGGCTGGCATTAGAACTTCAGCAATAGTATTGTCTGTCACAGGAAGGATCATGTCTGAGCTTTAAGACAGAAAAGGATTGGTCTTAGGGGGCGTATGGCAAGAGGTTTTGATTATCCGACGTAGATAGGTTGACTAATATGGAAAAGGGGGTTTTCTTAAGGGGGGTTTCTTAGCAGGACGGCAATACTTGTGTTAATTTTATGAATAGTTCTTTTCCAAAACACTTATCCTTAGGTTCCTCTATTGTCAAAGCAATTAATTTCCTTAATCCCAATGTGTGTGCGTATAAAACATTTATTGTTTTGTATTGTTAAATATTGTGTGTATATATATATGGTTATTGTATATATATATATATATATTGTACTTTATATTGTTATATATTGTCTATATATAAAACATATATAAAATGAAAATTCTATTTCAGTTTCCCTTTAATAACTACATGTGTTTCAATAGACCACAGTACTATAAGTTGATTGAAGAGTGTATTTCTCAAATAATTCTGTACAAGAATGGGGCTGATCCTGACTTCAAGTGCCGGCACCTCAAGATTGATATTGAGGGATTGATTGGTAAGTTTACTTTTCTATCTGATACCTTAAACCACTGCTTCTAACATTTTGCACCTTTTTTTCAGAGACAATATCTTCTATTTCCATTTTTTCCATCTCTTAGGTGGCGTCACAAACATTTGTTAGGAATATGCAGCTTTTTTTGTTTATTTCTACATAAACACCCCCTGACCTTTTGAATTCAGCTGTTCTGCTCATCTCAAAGCTTTTTAAGTATCACTCATAGGCATTCTTCATGGCCCCCAAGTTGGTGGCCTTACTACATGATGATGGGCACAGAAATTATATGATGATCTTATCTGAAAGTTCCATTTCTTCATCGAGAGCAGAACACTAAAAAGAACAATAATAACAATAACTGAAAAGACAAAAGACTGTTCTTGAGTTTTATAGAAGAGTTTAGGTAGTAAGAAGAGAAGACAGGAGAACTGGGAGCTTTACTTAACTCTCTCCTCTTCTTTTCAGACCAGATGGTTGACAAAATGAAAGTGGAGAAATCTGAAGCCAAAGCTAAAGAACTGGAAAAAAAGGTGTGTTAAGAGAGATCAAAAGTTGGGGGGTATATCTTTTGTTTAAAAGTTACGATTTTTCTGACATGTGAGACAATTACCTGTGATATTTTGAAAGCATTCAGTACACAGTAGCAGATTCCTAGAGGAAACCTTTCTGTTATAGGTTCCTCAGTGAAGAAAGTGATATGAGTGTGATCATGAGAAGCTAGTTAGTGGTGAGTTTGTACAGTTTTTGGGCCCCTGGGCAGGACAAGAAAGATAGGTGATGATTTTAGGTAATAATGCCAGCATTCTTGGGTTAGCTTCACAAGGCCTCTTATTCCTAGAATAGGCACTAGAATATATCTGAATTCTTTCTCTTTTTGGTTATTAAGGACTATGATTGCCTGGGGTTTTTGACCCTAGGGACTACTTCGGTTGTACACCGTATCCTGGTTGAAATGTCTTTAAAATCTTAGAGAGGTTCTTCTTTTGGTTTTTTTTTTTTTTTTTAATGTTGATAATTTTTTTGGTTTTGGGTTGGCTTGTTTGTTTTTTTAACTATCACCAAAAAAATAGGCTGTGGAAATGATTTTCTGGTTCCCAGCTCTTTAAAGGTCAAAATTTTGATTTTCCACTCTACCCCACGCACTTTCTGTGCCACGTAGGCATTCTGTGGGTCAGTGAACTCTATAGATCGAGTATTGACACAAAGCAGTACCTTATGAGGAGTAATACGATGCTTCTCACTGAGATGGCGAGCTTACCGGGAGCCTGGTTCTTATCTCCTCTAGCTGGACTCTGAGTTAACAGCCCGACATGAGCTACAGGTGGAAATGAAAAAGATGGAAAGTGACTTTGAGCTGAAACTCAAGAATCTTCAAGGAGAAAAGGATGCATTGGATTGTGAAAAGCAGAAAATTGACACAAAGAAAGAGAAGCTGGAAGCAAAAGTGTCTCAGCTCACAGGAGAGGTAATGTCTGAGTGGGGAAGGCACCAGCTACCTTAGGATGAGCCTTGCAGCAATACATGGTCATCTTCCATCTAGGAGGCGGGTGCAGCTACTAGTAGGTTATCTGATTAGATAGCGCATGTTTTAAAATTTTCCTACTTTTTTGTTGTATTCTTGGAGTAAGTCATATATGAGATGGAAAATTTGGAAAATGCACAGTAACATAAAGAATAAAACAAGTCATAATACTACCCAGAAGTAAAGATAATCTAGTCTCCTAATAAATTTAAAAGTGACTACTATTTAGAAGTATATATGTTACAGGGCAACCCCAATGTGAAATGGGTTGGTCTGACTGTGGGACCTCGTCCACACACTTAAAAGGGACTTAAAATGAGATTCAACTGCAGGCACACACAAAAAGGTTAATAAAGGGTTTATGTACAAAAATGGGAAATGAAGAAATCAATAACTCAGGGAGAAAGAGAGAGAGATAAATTGGTGAACATGTCCTACTAGTTCCGCTGAGCTGGAACCCCAGTAGTACACTGACAGCCAGTGAAAAACCAAGGACTTCCAAGGCCCACATGTCTGGTTTTATACCAAACCTGGCTGCTTAACTCCACCCTCAGTTCCCAGCAATCTGCTCTTCAATGGTGATCACATTGAGATTTGTAGTCCTTGGTATCTTGGATCTCTTTGGTTTGGGGTAAGGGTGGGGTCCTTAAAACCTATTTGTGGAGTTTGTTCAGGACATCCTTTCCCCCCAGCAATTAGACTGTTCCCACATTTGCTAATTTTCTCTTAATATTTTTTGTCATCTCTGAAGAGGTTTTTCCCCACACTGTCTCTGCAGTTATAGATATCAAATGATCTGTAATATTTGATAACTTTATCACTTTCATGATTGTATAACCACCTGTATACCACTACATATGTTAACTATATAATTAGAGTATTTGATTTAGTTGACCTTTGCATTTTCTGATCAGAGGGAGAAGTAAAGCACCACTGTTAAAGTTGCCTTTTTAATGTAAAGCATGGTAAACTAACAACACAAAGGCCTGAATTCTGGTTTTGGCTTTGCCACTAAACGATGTAACTTGAGGCAAGTCATTTTGTCTACCTCTGTCCTCTCAGTTCCTTCATGTGTAAAATGAGAAGTCTGGATTCCTTAGGTGTCTTCCAGTCCCATGCATACCTGAAGTGGAGTAAGAAGTTCTCCCTTTGACGATGTTTCTGCAATGGCTTTGTAGGTTGCCAAGCTGTCCAAGGAACTGGAAGATGCCAAGAATAAAGTGACTTCTCTCTCGGCTGCAGCTGCTGCTGCTGCAGCCCTCTCCAACAGTGCTGCTGTTCCCCCTGCCCCTCCTTTACCTGCTAGCACTGCTTCTCTGTCCCCATCCACTTCTGTACTGGAGGATATCATACCTCCTCCACCTCCTCCCCCTCCATTACCTGGGAGTAGTAATGCCATTCCTCCTCCACCACCTCCCCCTCCATTACCTGAGGGTAGTGCCATTCCTCCTCCACCTCCATTACCTGGGGATAGTAATGCCATTCCTCCTCCACCACCTCCCCCTCCATTACCTGGGGGTAGTAATACCATTCCTCCTCCACCACCTCCCCCTCCATTACCTGGGGGTAGTGCCATTCCTCCTCCACCACCTCCCCCTCCATTACCAGGGGGTAGTGCCATTCCTCCTCCACCACCTCCCCCTCCATTACCAGGGGGTAGTGCCATTCCTCCTCCACCACCTCCCCCTCCATTACCAGGGGGTAGTGCCATTCCTCCTCCACCACCTCCCCCCCTGCCTGGAGGATCAGGAATGCCACCTCTCCCTCCTCCTCTTCCTGGTAGTTCTGGAATCCCTCCGCCCCCTCCACTTTTTGGAGGATCTGGCATTCCTCCACCTCCACCTGGAATGGGTGTGCCTCCGCCTCCCCCTGTTGGATTTGCAGCCCCAGTTCTGCCATTTGGATTAGCCCCAAAGAAGCTTTATAAGCCAGAGGTGCAGCTCCGGAGGCCAAACTGGTCCAAGGTGAGTGTTTCTGTTTATTTTTTCATCAGTAGGTTGTGAGGATCCAGTTTCCTATTTTGTATTTTGCGCATGAATGGGCTTCATTTTCTTAAGTCTCATATCTATCTCTCAAGTTCCACTCATGGTTACGTTATTCAATAGAGAGTAGGCATAGTCTGCGTATTACAGACATCACCTCTGAGAGTTCTTTGAGCCATGTACTCTGTTATAAAACCTAAATTTATCCTTAACTTGTTGTGTTTTGCCTTTTCTCTGAGAACATGAGTACTATGGCAGCACATGTTGAAAATAATCATTTCATAATCTTCAAGCTAATGCTAGTTGTGCTGATCCAAAAGTCATGGATTTGTACGAATACCTCTCTACCCAATCTGTTACAGGGCAGGGAAAGGGGCAGCCCAGACCCCGCAAACCTGCCTGGTCTAAATGGATTCTGCCATCCGCCGCATCAACACAAAACATATGAGATTTTAATGGGAAGGAACTTTAATACAATTAGGAAACAATACAGAAAAGGCAAAGAATATAGTTTCTAAATCAAGCACCCAATGTTACCCGTCCCCTCATGGGTAAAAGTCCACCCAAGGAGGATTGGCCCAGAGCAAAGCCCCAAAGCCTGCTACAAGTCTAAAGCATCTTTCAGTGGGGACCCACAGAAAAGGATCAGAAACAACCAGACAAGTCTGGAAGGAAAAGAGCAAAATCAAAATCAAGATAAAAGCTGCCATTGTCACCTCCCCACGGGTATCTCACCCACATCTGTGTCACCCAGTTAAGGACCAGAAGGCAAGCGCAGTTTCTTCACATGTCTCTCCATTCCATGTGCCTCCTCCAGGTCTCCTCCTGGCTCTCCATCCTGCTTCCTTCCTTCCTCAGTCTCCTCTGCAGCTTCTCTCTCTGCTGAGCTCCACCCTCCTTTTGGGTGGGGTAGGAAACCTGGAAACTCCCCCTTTCCTGGGGACCACCTTGTTACACTACCCCAGTGTAAATGAGTCATACAGGGCATCTTTATTGTTCCCGCTTTGTGTTTGAAACCCCTATAATTTTGTGCCAGGCTTTTACTTCTCAAAACCAAATTAAAATAAGGGAGTTTAGGGATTTGTTCATAAAATGGACAAATTTGGCACTGTTAGCCAAACTGATGAGGAAAAATGTAATAGAGTATGAGGATATGTAAATTAAAGCCTTAATGTTTCTAAAAGTAGAGGATTTGGGGTTACAAGAAGGCTAGGTAACATAATTCAATCTCGTTCTTGATTAATCACCTATAAACGAATAATCTGAGTGTCATCTCCTGATCCCACCTTGAACAGCACAGCTCTCCTCTGTCTTCAGCAAGTTGTATTCTAATATTACGTTTCAAATAACCAGTTAGCCATCTTTTACCTTAGTGCGTTTTCTAGGATGGAAAGCTATGAACTTAGCTTATGAAAGCTATGAACTTTAGCTCTTAACACCCTGCCTCTGTCCACAGTTTGTTGCAGAGGACCTTTCCCAGGACTGCTTCTGGACAAAGGTGCAGGAGGACCGATTTGAGAACAATGATCTTTTTGCCAAACTTACCCATACCTTCTCTGCCCAGACCAAGAGTGAGTATTCTCCTCTTTCATGTACAGGTTCAGTGCACACTTCAAGTGGATTTCCTCATGTCTTCCCCTTCAATGGGTGAGGGGTAAAGAGAGAGGGGTTTTCCCATATAGAAGAAAATTAGTTATTTTCATATTCTGAGGATGGCTTTAGGAAAGAAAATTGTTGTATGTAAAATTGCCCCCCCTCCCCCCCCAGTTTTTGTGGTTTTTGTTTTTATGCATAGGTATTCTGTGTAACTATCACTTGTGGAAATACTGATTTAAGGCAATAACGCTCATTCAGGCCCATTATGATGATGCTCTTGAATGAATTCTGGCACTGAGAAAGTGCCATCTCCATACCTAAGCACTTAATTGACAGGGATTGGACAGAGGCAGGTCGGGTGGTTAGATGACTCTCTACAATAATTAAGAACTATGTGTAATTCCTTTTCTTTCTTCCATTTATTTCCAATACCTGATGTTTTCTCCTGTCTGGTGCTTTGCTCCTGTAGCATCAAAAGGTAAGTGATCCTTTGGGTCTGTTGAATATTATAGGAAAACATGAAACAGGTATGGAGGGATTTCTCTTTAGGAAACTGAGATTAGAATAGGGATTGAGTTCTCTTTTTTCTGGCTTTTTACTTTTTTTTTTTTTTTTTTGATAGTCTAGCAGGACAGTAGCCATGATGTTAACTAACAGGGAAACAAATAATTTTAAGTTGAGTGATAATAATACCATTACCTTATAATAGTATTATGTTTTATAATTTTCAAATTATACTAACATATATTACCCTGTTTGATCTGCAAGGAAACCTTGTGAGATGGGCAGGAAATATAATATCTCTATTCTGTAGCATATGTAGACTAATTAGGTGACTTGCCCAAGGTCATATGACCAGATCCAGGGGTCTTGACTTCTTGTCCTTATCTTTAATAACAATTCTTGTACTTCTTGTTTACCTTCATATCTTCCGCTTTATTTTAGAAGCACTGATCTGTTTTGCCCTCTTTTTCTTCACTTCCTAATTCTTGTGGTTTCGTGCTGCCTTGTAATGGGGTACTTACAGATATTTCTCCTGAGGTATACAGTATTTGAAAGATCTTGTCATGTCCTTAATGATAATTATAGCTAAGAATTTAGTTTCCATCTTCTACTAGCTTTTTTGTTTATTTAGTGGTTTATTAAGACCCTAAATGTGATGAAAATTAAGTGCAACATTGAAGCATTGTCCTTCCCCCTAAATAAACATTTTAAAATAATAATTTTTTTTCCGTAAGTTATCTGATGGAATCACACTGCGCTTTGTTCTAATAAGGAACCTAACATTTCACCAGGTGCCTTTGTTAGACCCGTGTCATGTGTGTATCTCAGAGTGTAAGATCAGTGTTGCTCAGACCTGCCCTGTTTGTCCCACATTCAAGGCAAAGTGGCCTTTTCCACTAAAAGAAATATCACCTTTTAAACTAAAAGTTCAGCCCAAGAAATGACTTCCATCTTTTTAGTTAAAAGTACTGTGGTACTGACCACTTACATTGCTCTGATGTATCTAACGTATCAATAAGGACTAGTTGATGATAAAAGTCAAAGTCAAATAATTGCCTAATTTATTTAATTTTTTTAAAGATTTGTTTATTTATGCATACAAGAACTGGGGTACAGGCCAGAGGTGCAGGGGGTGAGAGGATTTACCAGAGAGAGAGTGGGGAACAGAACAGGCAAATTGACTGAAATACACTGCTGAGGGGAGCAGCGGGCGAGTCAGGAGAGGTCTGCTGCACCATGTGGGTAGCTCCCTGGCTGGGGATCAAACTCGCACTGCAGTGGCTGCAGGAAGCTTCATAGGTTGCATCTTAATCCCTTGCGCCTCCAGGGAGGCCCGATTTCCTAATTTATAACTCACAGACTCTGTCCCTTAGTTGACCTCCAGTGTGTCAACCTCCAGTTGACATCCAGGCACCTTTCTTGAGCTGCAGTCTCTGTTCTCAGTGCCACTGCAAATGTGCGTTGACTGGACTCCTCTCCTCCCCGGCTTTCATCCTTTTTTATCCTGTACGTTTGTGTTACTATTGATTATAGTGGGTTTTTCTGATTTCAACCTTCTTCCTTGCACTGTGACTTGCTATATAGTATTCTTTATACTATATACCCAAGTAGGACCTTACATCGTCTTTTATTATTTTCAGCAATGTAACTGAACTTTTTAATGCTTTTTCAGCTCTCAACTTCTGCCTTGAAAATTAATCTCAAATCTCTGTATCTTAACCTGAAAAGAATAAGTATGGATTAGTCAATTTAGTTTAGTAACTGTATTGATTTTTATGTAGTAATAATCATTACCTATAGATTGCTACTATTTTAGTGAAGGAAATTTCTAGCTAGTCTTTAAATATCTTTTCATTTTAGTATTCTCAGATGTTAAATTGGCACACTGCCTTAATTGCCCAGTCTTTCCATTAGGAAGCCCTAGAGAAGGTATTCTTGAAAATTAGTAAAAAATGAGCAGTTTTCTTAGATCTTAAGCATTTAAAGAATTTCCTGGGAGAGAAATTTTTCTTCTGTCAAGTATAGCATACCCAACTCTGACAGTTATCTAGAATACTCAGATGTAATAGAACCTTCCTGTTTCTTGTAAACCATGCTACATCAGTATGTTTGCAATCATTTCCTCCAAGGAACAAGTTACCTCCCCCTGTGAAAAATTGTTTCTTTTGTTTTACTGACTTCAGTGTTGTCTGACTTTTTTTTTTTCCTTCTAAATATTCCTACTTTTTTACCTTTTAGTTACTCCATGAATCTATGGTAATGCAGGAGGTTTTTGTTTTAAAGTGTGTCTTTCTTGGAGACAAAGTTGCTTTGACACCACATGCATGGGCAGCAAGTCACAGGCGAAAGTGCTGCTTACAGACACAGTGCCATGTGTAACACCCACTGTGCCTGGGGTCACTAACTTCCTTGCCTTTCTTGTGCTTTTTACCCTTCCTTTCTTAGTGCTCAGATTGGCAAACTCAATACTGTTCCCAGGTGCTCCCCTTTGTCACAAAATGCCCCCCAAAAAGCATCTTAATAAACAGACATTGGGCTTCTTAAGTTGGAGTTTAGGGGTTTTTTTGTGTTCTTTTTTTTAAAGATTTATTTATTTTTATACAAGAACCGGGGTACAGGTCAGATGTGCGGGAGGGTGAGAGGATTCACCAGAGACAGAGCAGGGAACAGAACAGGCAGACTGACCGAAACACACTGCTGAGGGGAGCAGCGGGCGAGACAGGAGAGGTCTGCCACGCCATGTGGTTATCTCCGCGGCTGGTGGCAATCGAACTGGCACTGCAGAGGCAGCGGACAGCTTCACAGCACTGCACTCAACCACCTGCGCCACCAGGGAGGCCCTGGAGTTTAGTTTTTTATCAGGTAGGGAATTGAAAGGTTAAGAAAGTTCAGAGGTGAGAACGCAGAGGACTCAGAGCTCCTCAGTATGAAAACCAGGTTTACTTTGCTTATGGTGCTTTAACCCTCTCGAGGATACCATTTCAGAATACCTTCATCCTTAATCCTTTCTTCAAGCAAGTAACCAGTTTCAATTTCTAAGTCTTTCATTCATAGTCTCAATATTGGTAATATAACTAAATGATAAATGCTCAGTTACCACTCTATAAATGTTTCTCTTCCAGAGGAGAAAATAGGGGCATCGGTGAAATAACTTTGTCAAAATTGTGTAATAAGTGCCAGAGCCAGGGTTCACCCTGTGTGCCTCCAAAGGCTTTACTCTAGCTCTCTGCTTCGCAGAAGTGTTTGTATCTGCCGTGAGGGCTTCTGAAAGCTTGGACCCAGACAGATGCTGGAAGAAAGGGTGTGCTGGCTTTCTCAGTCACTTCATTCAGCCACAGAGGTCCTTGAATCAGCAGTGACTCTTAGGACAAAAAGCAACATTAGATTGGGCAAAGTAAGTGTGCTTACTGGGTGTTTAGAGTTGAAGAGGAGGACACAGGTTCTGACTATAGTATGTTCAATTGTAGCAAAACTGATCTGGTTAGAGAAATAAGACGTGCTTTAGTACAGTGAAAGTCCAACCTAGATTATTTCTGCCCATTAGTTCCCAGTGTTGATGAAGAAGTTATTTGGACACTAGGTTTTCATAATGTTGCATTATTTCCTCTCTTGCTTGCTAACCACAACTCTACTATTTGTTAAACATGGCTGTATCATCCTTAAACTTTACTGATACCTAACCCATGCTCTGTGAGGAACAGACATTTCAAGAAAACATTTGCCTCACTCTAGATCTGCTTGCTGTAGTCTCCACTGCTGCCTTAAGGTTCAGGAAGATGTGTACCTTTTTTTTTTTTTTAAACTTAGACAACCGAGAGAGAGGAAGTGGCCCTCACATTTATACTAAGGGTTATTTAGTTCATGCATTTTTCTCTCTTGAGGATTCTCTCTTATTTCTGAGCTCTTGACTCCCTGTAAATTGGCAATTTACTTAGTTAATTTATTCCTACTAGGAAATATTTTGAATTCAAATTAGATGGGCAGTGCTTAAAACTTCTAGTCCTTTTCATTTTTCTCTCTTTTGGTCATCAGCACAGTCTTTTTTCATGGTCTCTTTGTTGACACAGCTTCTTGAATTCCTTGGAAATATGTTCAGTAGTTAATTTTTCATTTCTCATCTTCTTGGGGGCATTTTCATCACTGGCCTTAGGTCATATATACTCAACTGGTTTTTCATGCTTTTCATTTTCTTTCTTTACTCTTTAGTTGATGACATCCCATGAGAAAGATCACCTCTTGAAACACAGGATGGTAAATGATAACTGATGTCCTGAGTACAATGATAGGAAGGTATTCGTTCTTCCAGAAACCTTTTGGACTCAGAAGCTAAGCATCCTTAGATTAGTGAATGTGCAATGGACAGTATGTAGCATTGGACCCTCTCCGTGGTAACGTGTAATGCACATTATGGGGACTGAGCATCAGAAAAGTTCCACAAGTGGTTAATGGCAGCAACTGAGAAAGAATTCTGCTAGAGCTGTGAATTTCATAAACAATAACAATATTCTAGTTAGGATTTGACTGTGTGGATTGAGATCCAAAGGCTTGTGC